ATTATTATATGCATGGGGTATATGCATATAATAATTTGTTTATGTGAACATCACGCAGAAACTACCATATGGACGTAAAAGAATGGAATATATGCAGAAATTACGGCTACAATGGTACAAAGATGTGCAGTGTTCTTCGGCTCAAATAATAGGAATCATTCAAAGCAAAATAATCATTCACCAAAAAGACTCAAAGCAAATAGTCCGCCCAAAAGAAAAAAAAAATCCTAAGGCATCGGACTCTTGGAGTTAAGTGACACATGCTCCCATATATATTTGTGTCATTTGTGTGTAAAATCAGCTAACTAAATTTATTTTTCTAATACAATATAATATAGCATATGTTAATTTTAGACAAGATCAAAACTAAAATTTTTATCATAAATTAAAATTTTGATAATTACTAGACTAAAATTCATTAATTCATTATTTAAATTTAATTTTAGTATTTTTTTTACCACAGCATATTCAAATTAACTTGTACATGTTGTTTGGCTATTTGAAATTTAATTGGGACCGAACAGACAATGGTAGGACCAAATACTCATGGCCGTGACTAGAAGGAACATAAAAGAAACACAGCTAGTAGACGATTGCGCAGAAAGACAAGATAAAAAGAAAATGAATATCTACGTACCATGGCCTTAGTCTTGAAAGCAAAGACCTTGATATCTTGTCGTTTTGATGTCATCTCTTTGACAAGTTCGTCGAATGACTCTAAAGAACCCTCCATTCCTCCTCCATTACTGTTTCCATCATTTGCTTCCACTAGCGCTCTTGTCAGTTCCTCTCTGAGTTTCTTTACAGTACATGCGTCACCACAGTAAAAAAAATGACAAATCAAAAGTTATACCAGTTTGTCTGCATGCGCCAACATGGATTTCTAACAACCCTGTTGAGGTGTGACGAGATAAAGGTAAAAATTTTGTTACATCATTAATAAGTTAGCTACAGTTATACTGTAGGAGCTTCCAAGTAAAACCATAGTGGAAGCAGTCCCGTGGGGTTGGCAGGAGCAATATCCCGCCCATTATTGCTTCTTTTGTTTTTACGCTTTTGGATTTCATTGGGAATAAATTAATCTCAAGTTGACGGAATAATATGATTGCATGACAACTGGCAATATGTCCAAAAATTCCCAATTCGTTGAAGTAAAACACCTATAATTGCTCCAAATAAGCTTATCCACTAGACTGTGCTCTCCCTGCATTTTCATATTCATCACGGCCGATAAACCAGTGCTACCCATTCCTCAGTTGTGATTTTCAACAAGAATATATACCCTTCACATAATTGATACGAAGAATTAATATTAACTACTTTTCCATATTATCCGCCTCTACATTATATTCACCCAGAACAGAGAAAAACTATGAGGCCACCACAGGGATTATCGAGCAAAAAATCTCCAAAATAAGTCTTCCCGTAGCAAAATCTAATAGGGACCCGAAAGTCTTCTACACTTCTACTTGTGCTTCAGTAAAAGTTGACCAAAGAACGCAGATTAAATAGAATGAAAATTCAAACGTCAGTATTGATAAGACTTTCGGGTGGATTGGAGAATATATAATAGCAAAGAAAATTGCCTTAAAAATAAGAAAATTATTTTCGAAAAGATGGTCGCATTCAAGGAAATTAAGAAAATAATAAGCGGTGGAGATGACAAAATGAGACCATTAATAAAACATGCGTGTTACGTGAAAGATCAAAACTTCTCTTCGTAAGTAAGCAAATTAAGTTGAAACCACGTACTAGATTCCGAATATTTAACCTAAAAAAAATTATGAAAATGAGTTTCCCAAATATTACATATTTGTCTAGAACGTGTCAACCACATTTAACAATACAACAGGATTGTGCGTATGCTGGCATGGCTTGTTTTCTTCGGAAAAGTCAAAGCTAGCATGAGATGATATATGAACAGATAATGGAATGGAAATGGTTAAATACCTAAATCTTACATTAAGTTTGATTTGATAAACATATTAAATAAACAATCGATTTTTAACTTTATTATTTTATATATTTTTGTATAAATTAATTATTTCACGAATTAACTAGTAGTCATAAACTAATGAATAAATAATTTAGTCAATTCAGAATCCAATTTGAATATTAATACTAAGCAAGATATTCGTTACTAACCACAGATGCGCCAGCGCCACTGAAAAATCTCCATCCTATACAGTCTGCAAGGAAGAAAAAACTTTTGAAAAATTCAAAAAAGAAACGCAACATAAAATTTTTTGGGGGGGGAAGAAAATTCATGCAAATGGAGAAAAAGTTTGATTTAAATTTCAGTAAGTTCATTGTATTTTTACATAAAAATAATATATTATAATTTATAATTTCTATTAACTGAAATAGTGACAAAAATTTAATTTTCTAATTTAAAGAACCAGGCCACCAGCAACAACAACTCAGTTAAATTCCTGCATCAAATGGTTAGGAGAAAGAGAAATTGGCCGGCAGGGAAAAAATTTCTCTCAGTTTCTTTCTTTTTCTGTTTGAAGAAGAAAAATCTAGCCTCATAATTATCCTTTTGCTTATGAAACAAACCTTACCTACCAAACTGAAGCAAACCAATAAATTCAAACTAATTGAAAAAGTGAAAAAAGGAATAGGAAATAATTCAAAAAAGGAAGCAATCAGCAAAAGCCAAGTAAAATGGAGAAGAATACTAATCAGAAAAAGTAAAACTAATAGAGAATCAGAAAAGGAGAGTACCGAGAGGAGAATCGCAATTAGAGGCAGATTCATGGACCAAAATCGCAATCCTAACAAAAAGAAATGGCAACAAAATACCAAGCACAAGCACCACCGGCCAAAGAGTCCGACTAAAAATCCGACGATTCGTCGCCGATCCTTTCCCAGCTCCGATGCCGGAGTTCGAAATCGTTACCTTCTTTATCCCCGTAGTCGAAATGTAGAACTTCATATTCTCAGACTCTCCGTTACTCTCCAACTCTTCCTCTCCAGTTCCATGAATCCAAACAAGTACAAATCCTTCCCTCGAGATCTTTGATCTACCCCACCACTCTCCCTACCCCTGCAAAAACACAGCAAATATAAAGAAAAAAAAGTTAGAGAACGACAGTCGTTTTGCAAACAGATACCACGAGTTGAATTTAGAAGAGTGAATTTGTCATTTCTTACCTTGGCAAGGTCACGGATGTTTGAGCAGAATGAGACGACGCTCATATATGTGTGTGTGTATATATATATTATATATACGCTCGCTGAGAAACAAAACTAAATCTGATTGTTCTTCGCCTGATTAATTTATTTATTTTTTATATTTTCCAAAAAAGAAAACAAATAAGCCGCGTTCAAATCCGCGGGAAGGAATAAGAATGCAATTATATAGATGGGGTAATAAGTGAAAATACAGATTTGCCCTCGTCTTTTTATCTTTTCTCACCGACAGGTCGCTGAACGTGATGTCAACTTAACGTGCGCATACCCTTCGCCCAGGAGAAAAAGTTTGATTCCATGTGCGCGACCTCATTTTCCTCATCATGCTCCTTTCTTTTTCCTTTTCTTCTTTTTTCTAACAGAAGCGTACCAGTTGGATCACGGCCTCGATCTCGTCCTCAACCATTTCTCTCAAAAGAAATCTTGAAGGATTTCTCCAGGTTTCTTCATTTGCCTAGAGTTTGGAGATGAACTGTTTCCACTCCATCAACTTCATTCTGATGCGTTCAAGAGTTTTTCATGCTTCTTTGAACAAGACATCATCCAGTTCTTGGTTATTTACGGTAAATGCAGATTGATTTTTCTTTCTTTCTTCCCTTCTTCAGTGCTTTCTAATTGGATTTTGATTCAATCTCCCCTCAATCTAGTACTTTTTGAAAACCTTTATCAAAACCTATTTCAAACTCTTTGAATTGTGCCCTGTAAATGTAGAAAATATCAAATTGCAGGTGGATTTTGTCCCGAATTTGGTGGTGGATGGACTCATTGAAGCAGATTAGATCAAAATTACCACAAAAAATCATTGAATAAATAGTGTTATGATTGGAGTATAAACTCGCAGAACAACACAGGTTCAGAAAAGTATACATCTATATGAAGTGAAGCCATTGAGAGGCTTCTTATTGATAGTTGCCATAACCAAAATTTAGCAAACAATACAATTATCCTAGCTATTGTATGTATAAAATAATAGAATTTTATTCCAAAAAACCAAAGAAGTTAGGCTCATGAGATGCTTATTTCGCTGGTTTACCAGCAAATTCTTTGTTGTTGGGTTCAAAGACGTACTTAATAAGTGACTCCTTGATTGGCGAAAGTTGAGGGAATTCCTTCTTCAGCTTGGATGAGTTGAGTTCGTTGTTGCTTCGAGGTGCAACGATAACTCTGGCCTGTTCTTGCAGGTTGAAATTGATCCACTTGAAGCTGGGATCAACATAATTCTTGTACATCTCAAGAATCTCATTGTGACTCACAACACCTGGGTTTGTGAAGTTCCATATACCCTTTAAATTTCTCTTTGCCATTTCAACTGAAATGGGAAGAAGCTCATCCAACACTGTCATGCTGTTTGGAATATTAACCACTTTGTTATATCGAGTGATCTTCGTGATAAAGTTACGTGGGTTGGTGAGATCAGATGATATGGGCATCCGGACTCTGAGGGTACAGACATTATCATATTCTCTTAGGAGCTCTTCTACCTATATACAAAAGAGAGAAAGCAGTATCATTTACATATACAGCAAAATTAGATAGAAACATATCTGTTGCTCAAGGTATACCATGGCTTTGGTTTTGGAATAGAAAGAACCAGTGAAGTTGGCTTTGTCTGCCTCTGTAAATCCAATTCCCGACTCCATCGGATGGGTGTCATCATACTCAAAAATACAACCAGTGGCATAATTCATCAGAAGGAGACCACGCTCTCTGCAAACATCTGCCAAGGTTAATGCGCCAACAACATTGGTTCGAATTGTTTCTGGTCTATGAGATTCACACCAGTCTACATTGGGTCTACCAGTCACTCCAGCTGCATTGAAAACATGTGTTGGCTTAACACATTGAATATCTGCCAACACCTGGGATCGATACTCCAAACGCCCTCTTCCATAGTCATAGGGTATACCTCGTTTCTCACAAATCTTGCCAAGAAGTCCACCAATCCAACCTGTTCTGCCATAAATCAAAAACTTTAGAGATGATTTTTTCTCAGAGGGATTGTTCTTGGGGCTTAAAACAACCATTCGGCTTTGGCTAGAGTTGTCTGTTGTTAAGGTTGAATCAGAATTGCTCATGTCAGGACCATTAAAATGCCTATCAATTCCAGGTACCATCAACATCCTTGGATGAGGCAAAAGTGCTCCTGAGACATCTCCCCACCAGTCAGGATTTCTCACATACCATTCCATGGTTTTTCTAACACCTTCCTCCCACGAAGTCCTCTCAAACCAACCCAAATTTTTAAGCTTCTGATCATCTAAGAAATATCTCTGGTCATTGAAAGGCCTATTCTCCACAAATTTAATATACATATCCGGGTTTAAAGAGAAGAGTTTGCAGATTTCTATGGCAACATCAAGAACCCTTCTTTCTCTCTTGGTTCCAATATTGTAGACATGGCCTACTTCACCTCTATGAAGAATTACTTCAAACGCCTCGGCTACATCCTCACAGTAGAGGTAACTCCTCACATTTGATCCGTCCCCATGGATAGGAAGAGATTTTCCTTTCATAGCCAACAAAATGAACTTTGGAATCAGCTTTTCAGGAAATTGATTGGGCCCATAAACATTGTTGCCTCTGGTAGTAATGACGGGTAAGCCATAGGAACGGCCATAAGCCATAACCAGCATTTCAGCGCCAGCTTTAGTTGCAGAATATGGGTTTGTAGGAAGAAGCTGGGAAGCTTCATGGTTTCCCACCACGGCATCCTCTTCTGTCTCTCCATAAACTTCATCTGTACTAACATGGATGAACCTCTTGATCTGGCCAGTGGTCTTGCAGGCTTCCAAAAGAACATGAGTTCCATAAATGTTATTTTTGGTAAACTCAAAGCTGTTGCCGAACGAGTTATCAACATGGGTCTGCGCAGCAAAGTGCATAATGGTGTCAATGGACTCGGTGAGGAGGATGAAGTTGACAAGATCAGCACTGGCAATGTCTCCCTTGATGAACTTGAAGTTAGGAGAGAGGCGTGAGGGATTGAGGTTCTTCAAGTTGGAACAATAGTCAAGCTTATCAAGAACTACAATCTTGTAGTCAGGGTAGTTTCGGATGAGACGATTGCAGACATGGGAGGCGATGAACCCAGCAGCTCCTGTGATGAGAATGTTCTTGGGTGTGTATGGTAGAGCCATTTCAACACCCTGCAAAAATCAAACAACGAACCCCAAGAACAGATAGTAAGAAAATTTAGAATAAGAAGAAAAGAAACAAAGATTTTTTGAGTAGCAGATCTCTGAAAATGAACCCAAAGATCTCTACTCATTAAACCCAACAAGAACGAAAGAAAAAAGGAATGGAAGCATTACATTCCAGGAGTTAAAAAGAAAAAAACAATAAAACGTATTAGCAGGAGACATACTTACAGAATTTGTGGGTTCTGTCTCTCCTTTGTTTTGTCTAATTTAATTTCTTCGAAAAGAAGAAGAAGAAGAAGAAGAAGAAGAAGAAGAAGAAGAAGAAGAAGAAGAAGAAGAAGAAGAGGAGAACAGAACAGACAGAGATGAAGCGAGAGAGAAAAAAAAAAAAAGGGAAAGAGCCGTAGGAATAAAACGGACTTAGGAGGCGGGTATTTATAATTACTTCCCACTTAAAACGGCATGCAGAGATGTCGTATTCATACGAGTGATGTCATTTTTTAACATCATATTTGTACAATTCGCTTACACAGAAAATTAAGTGAGGGTTCAGGTGAGACGGCGTCGTTTCATCCGAAACCAAAGCCTTCTTTTCCTGGTTTCTCTCCTTCTCGATGGAAGCAGCAACCTAGCATTCACACGATGCTCTTTCCCCCAAGAGACTGTTCGGGTTGCAGCACAGAGGCTCGACATCTTGGAGCAGTGAGAGTGACGCATGAAAAATAGAAACAGAGGAGGCCTTCCGGGAGGGGGAATAGAGTGAGAGAGGAGGAAAATCGGGGAGGGAGGAAGTCATTAGAAGACAATCAGAAGCTGGTGTGAGAAGTTTGGGCTTGAGAATTCTCTTGTTGAGCAGTAAGGTTAGTGTTCATCTGTGCTCTATTATGTAACATATGTAATGATTTGTGTTGCGTCAGGTTCAAAATAACGATTCGTATGGTTGATGTGTGCTTTGATCTAACCAGTTCTTTTTCTTTTGTTAAGCCTGCTTCGTGAATTTATACAGGTTTTTTTTTTTTTTTAATGAGAATTCCATGAGAGAGCATTGACGTTAAGTTGCTATGAAATTTGGAATTATCATGAGATCTGGGGGCGACACTGTTTACTGCTAATATCTCTTCCGATCAGATTTTTGTGCTTGATTTAAACTTGCTCGAAATTTTGGTTCATACCTTGAGTCTTCCGCTAGAATCAGCTTATACGGGCTGTTGAATAGTGATTGATTTTTGGTTGCTACTTGCCTGCATGAGTTATTCCTTTCTTAGAAATGTGCGAAATGCGTCAACTTTTTTTGTCTTTGTGAGATCACTCTTCACGACATGATGATGAAAAGAGTTCTGTTTGGTCTTCTGTCAGCACCTTCATTTTTTTAATCCTCTTCTCTTTGAAGTTCTGTAATTACGGACTTTCTCTATTGTACTCTCACTCACCTTTTTCTTTAAGTCTTTAGATGTATTAACTGCATTCACTTCCAGCTTGCAGCCGCATCTTTGATTTGTCAAGTTTCGGTGCCTGTTTAGTGATTGGTTTCATTAGAAAATAGGATTTCCTTGTTATATTACATTAAGGAGGAGCTCCTGTGATTTGATTCAGACTTTGCAGTGATTATGTGAGGAGGGTTTGTATCTCTCTTTGGATTATTGGAGATTCCTTTTTCCTTCTCTTTTGTGAATTTGCGGACAGCTTGATATATTGAAAAATGGTTACCATGACTAATTTCCACATCTAAAATGATCTTTAGTCATTAACAAACTGCCAAGGTAGGACTTGAGCATGTAGGTGATTGGTAAGTGGCAATACATGACAGGCAGAATTTCTTCTTTTCTGGTCTTGTTTAAACCCCTGCTGTGGATTGTAATAATTTGATCATATATTTTAGCAAACTCTACTTGCTGATGTGAGACAAGGTCGCAAACTTGCACTTAGATTAGAAAATGTATGTGAATTAAGACCTAGTTAATTAACCTATAACATGGGGTAGTGTCTAAACAAACAAATTGTCATATGTTGATTTAGATTCACATGGAGATACTTCACCTACACCATGGGGTTGTTGTCTCGCATTTTCTTATACCATATAATTTTTTTTAGATTCTTTGTTTAAGACCAATGCCAAATTTAGTGTTGGATGCTGCTTCTTACAGGATCAATGGTAACTTTCTCAATATTTTCATTTGAGGATGTTAGTTCATTTTTAGGGAGAGCTTTATTCTCACTCGGTTGCAATAGTAATTTAGTGCCAACAGACGTTTGAAGAATTAAAGCTTTGGTAAGCAGTACATCTCGATTCAGAGTAGGATTAAGGGTTACAATTAAAAGAGAATAAATCAGCATCCTCCTAAAATCATGGTTCAAGCATATCACGTTGCCCTTTATGTGAAATAATATTTGAAATATCCAATTTCATAGAAACTTTTTCTTTTTGGAAAACAATTCTAAGGAACATTTGGTTTCCAGTTACAGAATCAACATCTAAAGAGACCTTTGAATCAAAAGGTGGGTTGAAGAATGAATCAACATAAATTCAAACACTTCTCCATAGGTAAGGAAATTGTTTGTTTCAATTGTGGACGGATTAGAGATATAGGCTACCAATGCCCAAAGGAGAACAATGTGCATGTTGGAATGAAACAAAAGGAAGAGATACAAGGAAGTTCCATGGTTGTGTATCCAATGAGGATGATGATTTTGTTGATAATAAAGTAGATACCTCTCTTTTGCCTTTGAGATGCATCATAGCAGCACTTAATGTGGAGAAACAAGAACTAACATCTGTTCTTATTTCTTAAGACGTTTCCATAAAAGAGGGCTCTGTTGAAGTTCCGTGCTTGGAGATTCTTCAGAAACAAATTGCCAATATCTTGATTTCAGTTACCTAGATGTTTTTCACTACCAAACAATTGTGTAGTTCCATCAATTTTTACTATAAAAGAGAATGATCGAGTGCAGAGCCTGCTAACTTTTATTAGGAAGCTCAAAGATCCAGGTTTTACATCATTCACTGCTTCAAAATCGATGGACAAGCTTTGTCCAAAGAGAGGAGAATGATGCAAAAGGGATCAGGTTTAGATTTCTTAACTAAATTAAAAATTATACTCCTTTGAAATATAAAATTGTTGCACTGATTAGGAGTTTATCATCATAGTAGTAACTGTAGGAAATTATTCTTTTTACTATTCGGTGGAACCTATGATCATGATAAATATTCGGTGGAACCTACGATTATAATAATAAAAAAAAATATTCGGTGGAACCTATGGTTATGATAAATATTTTCCCCTTCCAATGGAGCTCGAGTTTTCCCTCACTTTTTTGAAGGAATATCCTGTTCTAGAATACTAAATAGTCTTTTAAACTTTCTTTTTCAGTATACTTGCTGCCAAAAATTTTGTTGAAATTGTGGGATTAGATTTCCTATATATATATCCTTTTCTTGTTACAAAATTATGGTCTGACTAATTAATGTTTCCTTTGCGGCAGTTATGTTGAAGCGTGGAGCCAAATCAAAGGCATGGCGCGGAGCTCAAAACTATAAAGTAGCAGCATCAGTCACATCTCTGGTTCTGGTTTTGTTAGTATTATTTTTGTTATTTCGTGATGATGACAGAAAATCCAACCCATCATTTGGATTGCCAAACCAAAAATGGAACAGCTTCCAGCCTCTGGTGCAATTTCATCCGTCTGTGGAGTCACGTAATGGGACTGACCTGATATGGCAAGTACCTGGCTCACCAAAGGCAGTGCTTTTTCTTGCTCATGGGTGCAATGGGAGGGCTGCCAACTTTTGGGACAGGTCTGCTCGCTGCCCTATTTGTGTTGGTCTGCCCGAGGAAAGGCTGCTTGTTCTCCATGCACTCGCTAGAAACTTTGCTGTACTTACCATATCAAGCGCTGGGAGGTGTTGGACATTGGGGAAAGAAAGGTTACTTGTAAAAAATACTATAAGATGGTGGGTTGAGAGACAAAAGCTTGAAGCTCTTCCTCTTGTGGCTTTGGGAGCGTCTTCTGGTGGGTACTTCGTTTCTTCACTTGCTAACGAGTTGAGGTTCAGTAGCATTGCACTTATGGTATCTGCAGGGGCTTTTGATGAGATTGCCATCCCTAAGGACTATCCACCAACCCTTTTTGTGCACATGCCCAAAGATTTGTATAGGCGACGGAAAATAAGTGAATATATGGATGTTTTCAGGAAAAAGGGCATTGATGTTGCGGAAATTGAATGCTTGGAGTTCCCTTTATTCCCAACTTTCTTTGCTGAGAGAATTCCAGGTCTTGATCAGTCTGTCTCCACAAAGTTGTTTGAATTATTCAGGGAAAAGGACTTTATTGATGAGAAAGGATATATGAAGAACGATGGGCGCATAACACGCTGGAAAGAAGCTCTTCGTGAACTTAAAATTACTTTCCCCAATAAGAATTTGTTCCATCCTGTTCAAGAAGAACTAAACCTTGCATTTGCTTACCATGAAATGACTAGCTTGCAGTCTGAGCAGATCTTTAAGTGGTTTGAATCTCATATGAGCTGAGCAGGGGCCCTTCTAACATTATTATAATTCCTCCAATTCTGCCTTCAATGCTCACTAAAACCCCATGAATTTGGGAGCAGATTTAGAAAATGTTCTTGTTCATCCTCTTGTTCAAAATGTACGAGATTGGTTGATGTCCATGAATATAACCTAATGTTTCGTTACATGTATGAGGTACGTGCAATTCCGCCCATGAACTTGTATATTAAGAGTTATTGACAACCATATCAAATTTTTATTCGTATTGGTTTGAGACTAAATCATGAATTACAAGCTGTCATGTAAAAGTATTTAGTTTTGATATCATAAATGATTTACCCTTCTTCATTTGGTTTCTGTTAATAAATTGGCTGGTGTGTGTATCCTTCTGTAAACTACAGCAAAATATTCATGACTGTATATACTGTACCATAATTAAGGAGTTGATCTGCATCCGCGTATGCAAATAAATGTGGTTGTCAGGCAGTAAATGTGAAGAGGAACCTATATACAGGTGGCCATCTTAGATTTATATTATCTTTTTTTCTTGGGGATTTTGATAATGGTGTTACTGTTATATAATCTATTCTCACAGGTCGTCTTTGATTTATCTTGAGTTACTGGGTTAGTCCTGACTAACCAAGTGAAAGGCTGACTGCTGTTCTATCTTTGTCAAAGTATATATATATATATATATACATACATATCAGTGAATATCACCAATCATGCCTCTAATTTTCCTCTTCTTTTTTCTACTGATCGAGACTATAGAACAGTACTGTAAATGCTTGGCTAGAAACGAAAAGGCGTATTCGTACACATTGATGTTTACTTGGTTGAAATTAGTCTCTGTTTTAATTTGTGGTCCATTTTCAGTGTCTGTATCGAAGAAAAAGTTACTTGAAACTCTTTCTTGTTTGAAATGATCGTCAATGTTTTCAAATTTTCAAATTCCCTTCTTATTCGGGTCGATGATTTTCCTTGTCGATGTTTTGAACATTAACAGCTTGCTTGTTTGTGAAATTTTCTTATCCGCCTTGTTCGACATTCTCAAATACCTATTTCTTCAATTTTTCCCAGCTGTTGTACTTGTGCATACAGTAAACTGTATTGCATCCTTGGAGCCGCCTAATAATTTCTCATCCATCCATTGTCTTTTATTATCTTGACTCCATTCTCTGTCCCTCTCATGTTACAGAATATATACATATATGTGTGTATATGTAACAAATTATTCTTATTTTTGGTTGCTTCCTTGAGAAATAAATAAACTATATCATTATATGTACTTACATATGTCTTACTTGTTTTGACAAATGAGGGAAAACGAAGTGCATAGTTGTTACAGAGAATGAGAATTCTGGTACCTGCAATATTATGTGCTGGAGGAAAATGTTGATATATATATATGTGTATATATATGACCTACAGCTTTCGGCTCTGTGGCAGATTGCTTATTTGTTTTGCTAATTAATTTATCCCGTTTAAAGCTACTGCATGTTTGGTGGTTGGGCAGGCATGGTTTATATAATAACTATTCAAAAAATAATTAAGTATATATATATATATATGTATATATATCTTTAATTCATATATATAATGTTGGGTAGGATTCCATTTATTACATATATATAAATAGATACATTGGCCTGCTAATCTGGCAAGCTTTCATCCTCCAGTGTAAAACATGAATACATGCTGCTAAGCTTTAAGTCTTTCAAAAGTATACGTATTTATTATAAATATATATATATATATGTGTCTGTGTGTGTGTGTGTGTATCCCCTATTCGGAATTGCAGAAGGGAATTACTGAATAATGGGAAGAAATTATTATATCTTATTATTTAAAGCTAATAAAACCCATAAAACAGAAGCATTAATTCATATAAAAGATAATAAGAAACACAGTAGTATCCATTACATATATATATATATATATATGTCTCGAGATACTATAATAATTAATTAAACACTCAAACCCTAACCATGCGGCAAAGCACAAACTCCATCCATCCGCTAGAAAAATAAAAATAATTAATTAAACACTTTCCATGTATCGTTCCTTTCAAGCTCTTGGCTTTAAGTGACCTTCATTAGCAAGCCTGAAGAGTCTGGCCTGAGCCGTTGCAGCCTTGTTAGAACCCAGTGCAGCCACGAAGTTCTGCCTGACCTGTGCGGTGGTGAAAGGAAACCTCTGGTTCACCAGTGAGTTGAGCCAAGAAGCTGTTCCTTCTCGGTAAAGCGCACCGAGCCCATCAGTCCGGGTGTTGGAAAGAGCTTGGAGCAGGTTCAGGTTGGTTCCAACCCCTGGAAAGCTGGTCACTCCAAATGCACTCCCTAGTGTCCCCCACCATCCCAGTATACCCCATATAAGTCCTGGGTTATTCCTCCAGTAGCTGCAAACACAATATATATGTCGTTATTTACTGTATATACACACATATATGTATATATACGTATGCTGTTAGAGTTAGACTTACTTGCATGTACCAGTAATTGGTGGGTATGGTGCAGGGTTGAATGGGGGAGTAGTAGGAGTGGTTGGAGTGGTTGGAGTGCCGGGATCTGTTGGTGAGAATGGTGGGTCTGGCGTGGTGGGAGGGGCGGGAGAGTATCCGCCGTCTGGAGGAGGATTTGACGGCGTTGGGGTAACTGGGGTAGGGGTTACCGGCGTTGGAGTAACTGGGGTAGGGGTTACCGGCGTTGGGGTAGTTGGGGGAGGTCTGTGATATGGTGGGGTAGGACAGTTTCCACCAGGTGGTGTTTTTGACGGTGACGGAGTGTAGCCATGTGAAGGTGTTCCATGAGATGGTCTTGACGGCGGTGTTCCTCCGTCGGACGGTGGAGTTCCTCCGTAGCTACCGCCGTCTGACGGAGTTGACGGTGGGGTTCCTCCGTAGCTACCGCCGTCTGACGGAGTTGACGGTGGAGTACTTCCGTGTGACCCTGCATTTCCAGTACTTCACAGTTTAAGTTTTTTTTTCTCTTTTTGTTTTTCACTGTAAATGTTTCTTTTCAGTGTCATGTACATATATTTATCTATCTATATATATATATATATATATACACGTATGCATTGTACATGTCAGCAGCTAGAATATTAGCAGCTTCACAGAAGCACAAAAGCATTTTTCCAGTAAGAATATATACATATAAATATATAACTACATCGGATCCCTAACCTCATTTTACATAGAAGCATGCATCAAACTATATATAGGATTATACATAACACACACATATATACTGTATACCTCCTGAATGATGAGGGTCTGGGGAGTAATAATAGTTCTTCTGGTCATCAAGACGAATGCAGAAAGCAGGAAGAAGAAGGTTGTGGGAGAGCAATGCAGCAACCAGAACCCAGACGAAGGGAGAATGCTGCTTCCACCTGGTAAATTCTTGCTTCTCCATTTTTGAAACAGAGAGCGAAAGAAGAAGTGAGAGTGATGAAAGAAGAAGCACGGATGCAGAGGAAAGAGGGAGAAGATGAATATATAAAGGAGTGTAGAGATAGTGAAGTAAATATTAGCAGGTGAAGGAGTATGTGTGTTAGTTGATGTTTGCAGAGTGCATTTATGCATTGTATTAATAACTTTTCTTCACATATATATATCTATATATATATATGTATCATACATATACGTATATTTATTTTCTCTCCTCTTCATAACTCCAAAATCAATCCTTAATGCCCACTCTGCTCCCCATCTACTCTCCACATGCATTTGCTCGCATACAAGAATATTAATGACTACTCTTACTTTCAACCAGATTTGTCACCCCTAGATTTTACAATAATTCCATGTTATTTGGGGGGTTTTGGGTTCATTAATTTATTATTAATTATAATTATACTTATAATTATGTGCTTTTTAATTAATGTATAAAATTAATATGCATCACCTTCTAATACCCATGTTAAGTATATTGTGAATGTGGTTAATCCATATCCTTAATTCATACCAAATAAACAAAATGCAGATAGAGATATCTCAATTTAAATAATTAGTTACCATCATATTTCAATTAACCCACTTTTAATTTGTATATATATATATATATATATATATATATCATCAAACAATACATCTCTACCTATATATATGCATATATATATCACTAACCCACAACCTTTTTTTTTACTAAATCAAGGCAAATAGAGCCATCTTAATCTAAATCATTAGTTAGGATATCATTCACCATCATATTTCAATTAACCCACTTTTAATTTGTATATATATATATATATCATCAACCAATGCATCTCTACCTATGTATATATATATATATGCATATATATCTCACTAACCCACAAACGTTTTTTACTAAATCTATATATTCTTTAACTAGTAGTAGACATAGAAATCATAACACACATACACACACAAAAAAAACACTATCTAACTTGAAACATACGATCAACTCAAGTAATGAATGGGTCATGAACCCTAGAATTCAAAGTGTGTATAGAGAGAGGAGGAGGGGGGTAAGCATGCATGCATGCATGCATGCATATACACATGATGATGATGATGATGATGATGATGCATATACAGTATGGATGGAGAATGAAGATACGGACAGCTAATGACACTTGGCAAGCACAGAAAGAGGGACCCACCTTGACCTCACAGAAATGAAGTACAATTAGGGTTTTTTTTCTTCTCCTTCTCCTTCTCCTTCTCTCTCAAGTCTTAAATGACCCAAACATAGCAGTAATGAAACACACTGTTTATTTTGACTTTAATTAATTAATTAATAATTACTTTTTCCTTTTGTTTAATTTCTATTTTAAATATAATCATTTAATAATTTTTTTTTATGTAAATAGTAAAAAAATTTTTTTGGTATTACTTGAATAATATAAAATATAATTTTTTTTATTTAAAATTAGAGAAATTTAAACTACAAAACAAATATATTTGATGATATATACAATTTAGGTTGAATAATAGTTATGGGTCCTTGTATATTAATTAATGGGCCCAACATTAATATTTAACACCAATTAAGTACTAGTAAATATTATCTCCAATTTTAAATTAGGTATATAAACATAATATATATATATATATATGTATGTGTGTATGTATGTATGTATGTATGTATGTATGTATACTTGTGTTATGATTTGTTTAGAGATTACCATATTCTTAACTAATGAATCAATCATGAGGGCTAATTGCTAAGATATGTTTAAAATAACTATTAATATATTAAATTAAACATTTAAATTACCTTTCCCATACATATAATTTTAAAACTTTTTAACTTTTAATTTTTAAATACAAAATTTAAATTTTTAAAAACTTATAATTAGTACGAGTAAATACTATTATTGACTTATACGCTCAGTAATAGTGTCTAGTACTTGTTGAAATTTAATCAGTTATAAAATTTTATCTGTATTGATATGATATTTAACTGTTATAATTGGTACCAACTACTACAGATTTGACGATAGACATTTAATCATATAAATAAGTGTATCTACACGTATCTATTATAAAATTTTTTATAGGTTAATATTAGAGTAGTAATAAAAATTGTAGAAGCTAATTCAAATGGTAAATAAAAATTTCAAATAAATTATTTAAGATTAGCCAAATATGTTAATAATACTTAAGATTAGCCAAATATTAGTACATACATCTAATGTAATTTATATATATATATATATATAGATGATCTCTACCATATACATCTTTCTTTCTGTGATCAGAATTGACATTAATCATGCTGTAAATTTGTGTTTGTCACTCTGTAAGAGCTGCTATGGTAGCATATTTTCATCAACTTATTGTAATTCTTTTAAACTTAATTTACATTCTTGCCTAAATGAGTACAGCAATACCCAATTGAAAACGAAATTACAGTATTAATTCTCTTAATCTATATATATATATATATATATATATTATAAAAAAGTTGACATTTATATGGATTCACAAGAGATCCATAAATGCTGCTGCTCCCTAACATGGGGTGGTGTGTACACTGAGAATGGCAACTTCCATTCACTTGGGTTCAGAAAGATGATTTAGCCAGTGCAGCATATCAGTTTTTCCACATCTACAAGATCTCTTAACCTATTTGATTTGACAAAAGAAAGACTTCAGTTTATTTTCTCAATCCGAAGATCTGACCATTAAGAAATATTTATTCTGTCTAATTTATCACAAGCAACCGATTTAGTCGTTACAATTCTACTAAAATACTCACAACTTAAAATTCTGAATTCTATTAAACCAAATATTATAGATCTACTATCGTCAGACATTATGCAATTACAAAGTAACATATCATATGTTCTCGATAATGTTCAAACTTGTTACCTTCAAATTTAGTTGCTTCAGTTATGTCAATACACGCACGAATCAAGTTTTAATGAATCAAAAATTATAAATCAATCACTATCAACTTACAGTACAATTATAAAATAGTAAATTATATATTCTTAATAATGTTCTAACTTGTGACATTCAAACATAACGTCAAAAATTTTAACGACTTAGAGTGTCGTATTGGTGCTCGGATTTCTAAGCATTGGAGTTACCCCCCCAAAGAAAACAATTTATTGTTTGGATTTTGACTTCCCAACTAGACAAAAATAAATGCCATAAAATATTGGGTTTTGCAGATCTTTTGGGATTCTTTCATAAAACAAAAGAAAATTTTTCAAGAACGTTGACTGTCTTATCAGCAAAATCTATAATATTCTTCTTATGATCGTCGATCAGCAGATGGAATTTTTCAGAAACAATAAAACGAGTACGTGTTCCTCGCAGGGGGCGGTGGGTGCATGTTATGGCACCGCGTTACCCACATGCAACTGTCCATATTCACAGTTTTCCTTCCTACTCTTCCCCTGTAATTCTCTTCCTCAACAAGTCAATATCTAATCAAATGAAAAACATCTAAGCTTCAACAATATATACATATTATATTACTTGGACGGTTGTGAACTGCATGATTGGTTGGTTGACTTTACACAACATCAACTGGGTTTGACTCTACTTTCACAACCATGTGTACATTCTCTTGTTTATATGTAAAAATATTTAGTAGCCAACACAGTGATTCCCTCACCCAGCAAACTATAAATTCCAAGATTCCCTCACCCAGCAAGCTATAAATTCCAGGCTCCTAATCAAGACTGGAACTACAGAACCAAAAAACTTATAATGGAAACAGAAAATAGCTTTGTTCTTCCCAGCTGGATTTTGTTTTGCCTAGCTGCTATGGTCACTACCATTCTCTTCAAGCACAAGAAGAACTACTGCATAAGAAAGAGCAAGTTACCTCCAGGGGAAATGGGACTACCTTGGATTGGTGAAACCATGGATTTCTACAGAGCTCAACGAAACAACCGATTGTTTGACGAGTTTATTCAACCCCGAATCATGAAACATGGAAACATCTTCAAAACAAGGCTAATGGGTTCACCAACTGTAGTGGTAAATGGAGCTGAAGCTAATGGCTTCATATTATCAAATGAGTTCAAGCTAGTGATAAGCTCGTGGCCTTCGTCATCAGTTCAGTTAATGGGCAAGGAGTCTATCATGGAGAAACAAGGGGAGCAGCACCGTTGTGTTCGTGGCTTGATAGCCACTAGCCTTAGCTTTTCCGGATTAGAGAGTATAGTGCCAAAAATCTGCAACTCGGTTAAGTTGCACCTTCAAAGAAACTGGGATGGCCACGAAACAATCAGCCTTTACCGTTCTGCCAAAAGTCTGACCTTTGAGGTTGTGTTTGAGTGCTTGTTGGGGATAAAGGTTGAGGCAGGGATGTTGCAGACGTTTGAGAGAGTGTTGGAAGGTGTTTTCGCTCCACCAGTGAAGTTTCCAGGGTCGAGCTTCGCAAGGGCAAAGAAAGCAAGGCAGGAGATAGAGAAGATGCTGGTTGGTGTGGTGAGAGACAAGAAGAAGGAGATTATGGAGAGAGGCAAACATGGGTATGAGAGATCAAATGGAGGGAAAGGAGGAATGCTACTGTCGCGCATGGTGGTAGGATTGATTCAGGGAGAGTTAAGCGAAGCAGAGGTCATTGACAATGTCGTTTTGCTGGTGTTTGCAGCCCATGATACCACCTCTTTTGCCATTGCTATGACTTTCAAGTTGCTGGCTAAACACCCAAGCTGCTACAATCTCCTCCTTCAAGGTATTATTCAATCATTTGGTTTATGTTTCCTGATCTGACAAAAACCCTAATTCCTAACTAACAAGACCAAGAAGATTGCCAACTTAACATTCAGGAAAACATAAAGTTAATTTGATTCGTGGTGCAGAACACATTGAGATAAAGGAGAACAGAGGTCAACAAGAGAATCTGACAATGGAAGACATCAAGAAGATGAAGTATACCTGGCAAGTGGCTCGAGAAAGCATGCGCCTTTTCCCTCCCATATTTGGCTCTTTCAGGAAGGCAGTTGCCGATATTGAATATC